AAGGTAGATCAACCACCCCCTCTAAACCACAGTCCTGGCTCTTTGCTAGGGATGGGAGAGGGCAGAGCAGCCCTCCTCCTGGGGCTGGGCCATCTCCCACCCCAGACACTTTCTCTTCTCTGTTTTCAGATGTCCTGGTGGGTTCACATCTCTCTCTCCTGTTACTTTCTGATGGTTTTTGCAGACTGTTAAAAAATAGTCAGGATTGGTGAAATTTTCCACTCCCGAAGGTCTGGGAGCAGCTTTGGCAGCCTGAGCCCTCTGAGACGTGCCTGGATGCCTCCCTGCTCTGCCAGCCGCCCTGCTGACCTGCACCTCTTCCCTTTCTAAGCTATAACTTGGGGGTGGGGGGTTAGAGGTGGAGAGGGGCTGCTAAAGCGAGGTTGGACGTGCAAACCTGTGCTGCTTGCGCGCCCGCGCAGGAAGCTAGCGCAGATGTTCTCGGAAACCTCCGTGGCGTGTGGTGCAGCCCCGAGCGTGCTGTGACCCGGCCCCATGGCCCCTCTGCCTCCCCAGTATGGTCTGGTGTTCGATGCCGGCTCCACGCACACGGCTCTCTACATCTACCGGTGGCCCACGGACAAGGAGAACGGCACCGGCATTGTCTCCCAGGTGGAGGCCTGCGCTGTGACCGGTGAGCGTGCCAGGACGTGGCCGTCCCTCTCCCCTGCCCCTGCCCAGCTCGGGGACGCCAGTGCTGGCCGGCCCCAGTGCTTGTCGGGGTGGCTGGCCCGCAGCGCCGAGGCGAGCTGGGAAGCACCAAAGGAAACTGATAGTGGGGAGAGTTTGCACCTTAGGGAGCCCTCCAGTAATCGGGGGATCCAGAGCTGGGCAAGGAATTTGGCCCCCAGTTTGCACAGAGCCAGTCCAGTCTTGCAGCCGGTGGTTGTGCATCGTCTTGCAGCCTGGGATGCTGGACATGTAGAATTCGCTTCTTCTCCTGTGCAACCACTTCCTTGGCTCTTCTCTTCATCTCTTCACAGCTCCTTTCATAATGTGTGGCGTCTTGTTCCCATGGGGCCTCCTAAAAACCTCTGCAGAAGTCCCTAAACATTGCTGGGTTTCTGCTGGTTATTGGTATGTGATTCCTAACTGATCTTTGGGTCAGCAGTTTTCATTTTGGTACCTGTACAGCACCAACCACAGCAGAGTTTAGAGATCTGATTAGGACATCTGGGTATCGCCAAGGAGATCCAGAAAGCTCCCTGGGCCTGGGGAATG